AACTCATTATTAACCTTAAGATAACAATTTTACAAAAGTTTCCGTTAACTGGCGAGATTTATTGAAAACCGCGCGCGAAAGTTAGAATGAGTTTTGCGAGTATCTACAGTTTTTCTTTCGAGCAACTGTCGAAATCAATCCTATTACGCATGTGAAGTTAACGAAAGCTAAAGGTAAACGACTGTTTGAAAGTGTATTTATATAACTAAGCTCCTACAGTGCGAGCTTTTTACAATAAAACAAACTTCGACTTCTAATGAGAACTTAGTTGACTTCATTATATCTTACAAGTTAATCTCTAACAATAAGTAATAGTAAATTAATCATAAAATAATGTAGCTTTCATTTAAAATAAAAATTTTCTCCTTCTAAAGTGTATATTTAAAGAGACTAAAATAATGCATTTCATACTCTTACAAAATGATATGGTGAAACTTAATTTCTTTAATTTTCTCCACTTTGATGGGATATATCGAAAAATGAAATGCTGAAAAATGATATTATTACATCACATAAGTATATACTGACCACGCAAACATAGTAAGAAGGATCGATGCAACGGACAGTAAGGTAACCGACATTAAACGGAGATTCGTGTCGCTGCTTGCGATGGTCTGGGCGGAAAATCGATCCGGACCCTTGTTTGCCCGTTAACGCCGGACGTGACATTAAATGCAGATGCAAAGTTCACAGTGGCGTTTACTGACAATGTAGGTATGTATATCGATGACGGCCATGCAGCCCGTAAATCACATAGCTATTACGGTAGTCCGTGTTCGATCGCCAAGCGTGTAATATGCGGGGAGATAATAACCGTGAATGACTTTATATTAACCCAGCAACAATGACTTGAGAACTCCCCTTTTACGGTAAAAACTTCTACGACGTGAGACTGCACAATTTCTCACATCCGAAATTCGATATTATACGCTCGATAACATTTTGCCCAGCAAACTTATTATTATTAAATAGTGTTCAAGATGCGTAAGATGCATAGGACACTCGCGCAAAGTTATCTATTTCTATTTCCGGTCAGATTTTCAAATTACTTCAGCAGATGTTCATACAAAACCAAAGTATAATTTAACGTATTACTAACTGTTAGCATCAGTTCATTATCGCCTGTTCATATAGGAATAGGAATCGCATAGATTGAATATCGCAACATATGGAATATTTAATAAACAATTATAGAGCGCTTTGAATCAGCATGAATCATAGAAATAAACAAAATACAGTATCAGATATTCAAAGGAACAGTTTTCCTTTCAACGCTCTTCTTGGTCCCTTCAGTCTCTAATAATAATCTGCGATTGTTCTCAGATTTAATTAACTCTAAATATAATGTAAAATGTGAAAAATAATGTAAAATGTGCATCAATCTTTCTAAAATCTTTTTAAAGAAAATTTTTTCTAGATTTTTGAACTGTCAAAACAGAACAGCATGTTCTGCATGACGGTTCTGTTTTGACAGTGCAAAAATCTGGAAAAAAATTTTCTTTAAAAAAATCTTAAAAAAAAAATCTGCGTCAAATTTCATTAAAACTCTGTTTTCAAAATATTTGAGGTAGTTAAAACACTATGATTCACTGGAATACTTTAAATTCTACTATGATACACGAGGCGCGTCGCGCGATTCGGAGTGTCGAGAATTCGACGCAAAAGTTCAAACGTCGACGAGCACAGGAAAGAAGACCGTTGACGAAAAATCTGTCACTGTTCAAGAGAGAGAATCAGAACAAACGTGTCCATGCATATGTAGATGCGGCCGTATCTGCAATGCAGATCTGCGCGGCATCGGCGAGTCGACCTTCGTGAAATCGAATGATCTGAGACTTTGCAATTCCGTATGAAACAATTCAAAAATTACAAAATAAACGAAAATTAAAAGCAGAAAATAACAAAAGATGGATAAAGAGAGAGAGAGAAAGAAAGAAAGAAAGAAAGGAAGCCAAATACAATGGACTTTCTACAATAAGCTGTTAGTTTATTTAAGTTTTCAGTCTCAAATCGTAAGAAATTAATCAATCACAGTCGGATGTAAGAAGAATAAGAAAAGATTATGATTGTCAATTTCTTATAGCTTAAGACTTAAACCTTAGGTACTTAATGAAGGAAACCTATATAAGATAAAACAAAAATAATTAATCTCCTATAGATTTCCGAATTATAAAATAACGATTGACGATATTATCATATTTATTTTATTTTTAATATAGCGTAGCCTTCCACGTCATAGATATTTTTCCAAAAAGATAGATGCTTTTATTATCCATAATTTTCAACAAAAAAAAATTATAAATTTATAAAAAATTTCGTAACTTATTTTTTTTACAATATTAAATATAACTCTTTCCATACCGTAATGCGAATAAGAAAACCCTAAATGATCAAGTTGTATCTTTAATAATAGCTTAAATAATTCTGTGATATTATATTACTGCTCTTCTTATTCGATGTCTTATTCAATTTTTTTACATATTAAGTATGTATATAAAATATTAGTATGTATATAAAACTAAGCAATTAACAATAGATTCTTGGGGCTAAGTTTTCATAATAAAGAGCAAAATAATAAATAATATTAAGCAAACAGAATACTCTCAAAAGACAAACAATATTTATATAAAAAATAATGTAAAATGTGCTTCAATCAGCTACTAATTGTTTTGTAATAGTTGATTAAAACTTAATTTCTTAATTCTCAGAAAATTACGTCCCGAAAAAGTCTCGCTCGATACAATTTCACCAGTTAAAGTGAATTATATCGTTCAATTTATAACTGCGACGTAAATCCTTTTTATTTACAACATGGTGCATTTTTGCGAAATCGAGCGAAAAGATTTAAGGGAGCGTAGCTGACTTCTTCCTTCGGATAAGTGTAACTCCATCTTTCTTCTTGAGATCGATCTGGACGAATCGTCGATGTCTCCTTAAATCGTCGCAAGTATGTCGGCACGAGCAAAGTAAATGCATATAAACGTACACGTGCGAGAATAAATCCTCTATTCGCACGAGAGATTTAAAAGATCATTCTCTTGCCTCAAAATAAATTTCACTCGCACATTTCTCCGCGAGTTATTTTAAAAATATCGCACAACGAATGATATTCTGCGTGAGGGAACACAAGTGATAGACGCAGCGTCTCGAGGGAAGATATTTGAGGCGGTGATTTTGTCTTTTCTTCTTTCTCTATTTTTCGAGACGAATTCGGCCAGAATTCTTTTTACGGATCGATCGATGCGCTGCCGAAATGTCGACGCTAAAAATGGTAATCGTGTCACAGGAACGAAGCGAGCGCGTGAAAATGACCGTCCTTATTTCATCGTGATAAGAAAACTTTTAAGGAACTCTGAAAAAATTGCTCTTCTTTTCGATACTTATAATCATTTTGATAGAGTCAACTTCTTTAAAATATGACATTAATTATAAATCTATAATTTTCAAAAATCTACTTGTTTCATTTGAAATTAACATTATAAAGAAATTTTTTGTATTATGACATTTTAATAGTATTATTATAATAAAAGGTTCTGCTCATTTTTTATCAAGAATACAATTCTTTAATTCTTTCTGAATTTTTGGATATTACAATGTTTGAGAAAATTAGATACAACCGTAAAAAGCCAAAAAAGTTTTAAATTCTTTATCGGAAGGGATAACTTGTTTTCTTTCTTTGACGACATCAGTTTGTAAGATGTTCGGTTAAATGGTCGTAACTGTGCCACGGAGACGAAGTTACAAGCTACACGTGGGTGAGAATAAATCGTCCGACTTCTGGAAACGACGACGCGAAACGAGCTAACGTGTCATCGACTGCGACCCGACTGGGAACTACCACTTCCTCCCTATAATGGAAGAAATATCTTCGAAACGTCGATATTGGGAAGACACGAAAATGGCAACGGGAGAATTTCTCACCTTCGAGAAATGTCGATCGCGTAATTTATACACTCCGTTCGTAGCCAGTCATCTCTGATATTGTTGCATAAAGATCAACACTGACAATGAGTGCTTTTTACATTTAATTTTACATTTTATCGCTCTATTTTATTACTCTGTTTTACGAAAAGATTTAGAAATATCAATTTTATTACGTGTTACATCACGCATAATAAGCAACAAAACTTAAATATAAAAAATCAACTTCCAACATTAATAAAAAAATATAATAAAGTTAAGTAATAATAAAAAATAAATTAATCAAGGTTATTTCTTTTTCTCTCCATAAATAACATATCGCATGTCGGCATCATTTTGGCACGTTTCAAAAGAAAGCATTCTTTTTTTAATAATGTAATCCTGCATAGTAGAGCAGTCACGCGATATAACGAAACAATGGAATGAAAACTCTGTTGCTCTGCCTCACGACTTTGATATAGAACAGCCTGAGCTAGCAAAGCGAGTTTTCTAGCTTGAAGACAACATCCAGAAGTATTGAGATCTACTGTACCAGAATAAAATGTACACTTGATAGCGCGAACAGTGACGAAGCTATTTGTAGATGCGCATCATACATATGAAAAGAAGACGATAACATCTCAAAAGATTCTACATGAAATTATAATGCATACATATCGACGTAGCATAAGTTTAATCACTAAACGTAAAAAACATATTATTAGAATCGTGATAGTGACCTTAATATGATCTCTTCAATCTTTAATTAATCTCCTCAAGTCATAATTTACTTCTATATAATATGCCAGAAATAGCAAATAGTTCATTTCTTGTAAATTATAAACTCAATTTTCCCTCTATTTTACACAACTTTTTAAACTTTAACATTTTACCATTCAATATACCTTAATAATTAAGTATAAGTCTCAGTTTAAAATTATAATTAATATTTACTCCAAAATTAAAAGATGAGTAATGTTCTATTTATATCTATATTTATTTTCGTAATTTGTAAAAATCTCTTTTCTCAATTTGTAAAAAGTATTTGTCATCAGATTTTATATAAATTAGTATGCAAATTTCTTAAACATTTTACTCACCCTTTGTGCCTTCCGTTTATCAGCACGTTGATTTTGATGATATATTCTGCTGAAATTACTGACGATAACAGGCACCGGTAAAGCGATCACTAGGACACCGCTCAAGGAGCATACACCCCCGACGATTTTTCCCGCAATCGTTTTCGGAACCATGTCACCGTAGCTGAAACAAACAGAAAAATATTTGTTGAAGCAGCAGTTCCGTGATTTATACGAGATAACATTCCGTAAATTTCGTAAAATAAAAATACCAAAATTAATATATACTAAATTTCAAATTTAGTATATAAGTTTTATTTTTCTTTCAAAAAATCAGAACGTTTAGAAAATAAAATTAAATTTGACAAAAATATTCAAACTCAAGTTACCATGTGATAGTTTATCAATTCTTTTCAAATTCTAAAATTTAATAATTAGAAAATTTATAAATTTTTCGCGAATATAAGAATTCTAAATTTTAGTGTAATTATAAATTATAATAAAGTTTCAGAAAAACCTAAAAAAATTTACAATTAAAATTTAGAAATCTAAACACTCTAAAATGTACTTCGAGATGCTAAATTATTACGTATATAATAATTTAGCTCCCAAATATGTATATAATTTGCACTTATTAACAGTCGAAAATTTTGTTTCTAGCTGCTTAAACCTTCAAATTTATCAGTATCAGAACTCCATATTCTACAATCCAATACATTTCAAAGGTTTCCAAACTCATAGGGTCATGTTCATTTCGAGATACCATACATAATTCCAAGCGAATGTCACGCTTCGCGCATCAGAAATTCATTCGTGAAGCATTGTTGTGAACACTGTTGCAAACACAAAACAGTAGTAGCTTAGACAAACGATCCAGCCAAGTGTTTAGAAGGCACGATGGAATTATACATTTCCGACGTTGTCGCCCACGGGAGCACGCATCGCGATGAGGGAAACGAGAGAGCGATGGATAATTCACAGCGTGCTTGAAGAATTCAGTCGTAAAAGATACATTCGTCCTCGTTTCTCAGCCGTGCGAATGTCCATCCATAAAACTTTTCCGCGACTACGTGGCTAGCTATGTAGTCGAACATTTCCCACAAGGTTTCCCAGTCCAATTCTATTACACATTTACTGTGTATCGAGTGACGCAAATATGTACGACCGTGCAAATATGTGCAGCAACCCTCGGCTGCCTATTTAACTTTCTTTCGTGACAGCGCGTGTTTAAACATTTGCGTATCGTTAAAATTGCAACGGTGAGACTTTTTGTTAGAATTTGCATTAGAATCTCTTTCACAAAAAATAAACGATTTGTTAAAACGTCACAGATTTAGCAAATTTACAGTCATAATATACAGACAGCCAATTTTCTATGTTAAAGTAGTAAAGTTATACAGCTGAATAATATTAGTGATTATAAGTAATCATGTACAGTTTGTTAATACAACAAAGATAACTTTCTACGAAAATCAATTTAATAAATATATGTAGATTAAAATTTTTAGCAAAACGTGCTAAAAAAAGCACTAACCTAAGATGGCGTGTACTTCCGCTGATATAATGAAGAAAATTTGTTATATTCAATTTTCATTGTAGCAAAGAATTAACTGGATTAGCACTAATAATTGTTTACAGATATAATTTCTTTGTGTTGAACCATCAAATCTTCTTAGTTATAGATATTGAACTCACGCAGCGAACTATAGCTTTACTGAACAATCTACTTATATATATACATGTATTCCATGCTTTTTTTATTGATAAAAGCAAGTAGCTAATGTTAGATAACATAAAATATTGCATAATTTTAGCGTTTATAGTCATCGTTACAATCATAAAAAGTTGCAACATCATTATAAAAAAAATTATTATTATAAAAAGTAACTGTAAAAGTAATGGAAAAGTAACTTTTCCATATTCCATGTTGACAATATATGTTAAGATCAAGATCATTAGGGAAGAATCTCTTCATCATCATTTTTAAATAAAAAAAAAAGCTTCATACGAAATATGTCGATATTTAATGCTTATCATAAAAATTGATATAAAAAAAGTCGTATTATCAGCGGAACCAGAAACTACATTATATTACATACAATAGCGATCGTTTATTCTTCCGACATGCCTCACTCGAGAGATCAAAAGGAGACGCGCGTGAAAAAGAGAGAGCACTGATGGAATTGGGGATAAAATGAAGTGTAATGGATCGCACTCGGCAGCTGCGCGCAGATCGTTCCTTTTTCCAACGAATTTCTCGGCCCGCACGCAATTTCAGCTCGTGACTAAGGAACTAAGTGTAAAAGGAAGCTCTATTCTGGAAACGATGCGACATAATCACGAGTCCAAGGGAAAAAAATGTTTTTTTAGAAATGATCGATTGCTCAATATCCTGCGCAATATATCGCAAAACTCATTTATATTTTGAATTATTGAGAAAAAAATACATAAATCTATAAAAATATACTTTATAATAATGATTATTATATGTAAAAATACTACAAAATTTATTATGCAATATCCTTCAATTATATATTCAATAAACACTTCAAATTGATTTAATTTTAGAATTATAAATCTTAAATAAAACAAAAAGCTTGAATTTTATACTCACAGATTTTTAATTTATTATTAAACTTTATATTTTTTCTAGAACTTACACTTTAAAAATTTTATATATATAAGATTTGCTAAATTTAAATTTAAACAATTTTAAGATTCAATAAATTTTTAAAATTTCTTAAATCACAAGACCTATACATGAAATAGTATAGACAGTATAATAATAGATAGTAACTAACATATAATAATTGATTATAAGCATACAATTAAAATTAAATAATTTGCAAATTTTTTTGAATACATAGATACATAGAAACTAAATTAAATAAATACGGCTCTTTTTTACTTAAATAATCTTCTTATATGATCTATATTGCTTTATATATACTAATCGCATGTAATTTCATAAACAAGCTCTTCTTCTGTCGCATAATATAAATGATATTTGTCTGTCAAAATTACCCACAACTTTCACATGAAAACTGAATTAAATAAATGACTCCTTTTTACTTAAATAATCTTCTAACACGATTAGTTCTATATTGCTTTATCAATTGCACATAATGTCTTACACAAAAAAGAGTGAAAGTAAACCTGAAATTGCAGGTTACATGAACTTTCGTCCAAGCTCGATTTTCCCAGTCGGCAATAATTTTCTCCGTCCTATGGCCTGCTGGGCTCGTTTCTCGACACTGATTTACGTGTCCCACGGACTTTTACAGCGACCATGAAACTTGTCCTAGCAGGATCTCATCCTATCATCTTTCGCGCACGTGATATGCTACATGTTATCGATCTTCCTCCTTTTTCTCGCACCTTTTATTTAATTAACAATTTTTCACGCCAATTATTTATCGATCGAATAATTTTTTTTTCTTTACATGACTATCTTCCGTGGGGAGAATCTTCCACACGGGTAAATCTGTCTCTCAGTAAACAAGCCAAGTATAAACGATTAAAAATAATTAATGCATTAGTTGAGCCTAAGAATAAATGCTGTTTTCCAACAAAAAAGTAATGTCATATTGAAAATTCTAAGATAATGATGTAAAAAATAATAATAATAATAAATATTATAAATATTATTTACTAAAAGAGTGGTTTAAAATTAACTTTTTAAGATGGCTCTTTAGTAAATCCAATTATTATAGAGTATCGAATTCTTTTATACATATAATAAAGTACTGAACTTGACGTGCAAAATTTTAGGGTTGGTTAACGATGAAATAAGAGAGAAAAACAATTTCAAGTATTACCCGGATAATACCTAATGAAATTGGGTAATAGAGCGGGACGCGGATACTTGGGTCTCGGATATTGACAGCTCTAAATATAAGCTGTATATTGGTGAACTTCTTCAAATTTTCGAGACTTGTAATTGAAAATAAAAAATAAAAATTAATTAAAAATCAAAGACATTAAGATATACAGGATAATTTTAATATTTTATTCAAATTATGCAGATATTTGTCATTTTGAGTAGACTCTGGTGAGGCATCCCAAAAATGTTTAGCACTTTATTAAAGAACCATCTTAATCTTTTTGAAAAACACTAAAGAAACAACTTTATCTTATACGTACATTACATAAATTAATTTACAATTATGTACGGTTAATATTTAATTGTATATTCAATTATAAAAAAATCTGTTTAAATAAAAATCTGTTTATATAAACTATGGCATTTTAGAACTTATACCAAGATAATCTCAAAGACAAAAAATTCAATGAGACATTTACATATTCTAAAAATATATAATCCTATTAAAGCACGATTGTTAACTTATTTCGCTCCAAAATAATATCGAATGCTTAAAATAGACAAACATCAAGTTAAAGAATTAAAAATGGCAGGTTGCATGAGTTCAAGGCAAATGCTCTTGGATCGAACCAAGACTCATTTTTTTTGTTTGTCGATGTAACCGGGACACGCGACGGTAGCGAGTTTAGAGTCGACGAAAACGTAGGATTTCGTGATCTATTGTTAGACAAGCACGCCTTGGGCGGTCACGAGCAACTACCTAGGATTCAGTCGGATTTCACAATGACACAGACCAGGCCGAATCCGCAATTAAATCACAAATGCAACTGCAATGTAGACAAAAAGTAATACCACGTTCAAAGATTCAAAGTAATCAAGTCGAGACTGATTTTGAGAAGTCTCCCGATATAAGCCGAAAATTATATTAATAAATGTAACATGCAAAAAGTTCCCGTACAATATTGTAAAAACAAAATAAATTACGATCCGTACATATAACGTATATTTTGAAATTATAACATATTAATATGCAATATTTAACTTTATTTCAATTTCATTTACTAACATTGAAAATTAAATATAAATAAGAGGAAGAATCTTATATTATATTATATCATTAAAAATAATGTTAATATAATTTATAATAATGTTGCAATAATATATATATATATATATATATATATATTTATAACAATTTGTAGTAATGTTTTAATAATTATTTAATTTTTATCTGTGTCTAATAATGTTAATACAAATTTTACTTTATCAGATACTTCAACTTATAAATTGAGTAAAAATCAAATAGGAAGATATAAGATTTGTTCTACTTCTATTTGTACTGGTTGCACTAGTTCAAAAAA